GGACAGAGACAAGAAGACAGGAACATGGGGACAGAGACAAGAAGACAGGACCATGAGGACAGAGACAAGAAGACAGGAACATGGGGACAGAGACAGTCCTGTTTGGCTACACATTTCAGTTCTTCTCGTCTATGTTGGACCAGTTGTTCCCTGAGCTGGACGGGTTCTGTGTGACCCGGACAGAGGTTTGGGTCCAGTGCGGCTCAGACGCACCTGTTCAGACTGCCCAAATAAAACAGAACCACAACTCTGGTTCTTTGGACTCCCTGAGCTCTGGGCTGCAACCAGAACCTTAAGACTGTGAGAACTGGACCGGTCAGAAAAAGACTTTAAAAGTTTTATTGGAACTTTTCCAGATTCTGGAGACGACCCGTTTTATCAGCTTCAATCTGAGAGCGGTACCAGTGCAGAACCCAGACATTTGTCTCAGGGGAACAAAGTGGTTCAGAAACATTTCAAACGTGAACTCATGGAAAATGTTTGTTGTTTGTCTGCTTTAACAACAATGAAAGAGATAAAACTACATCAAGTTTAATTATTTGATTATTACATCAAAAGTGAAAAACAATTATTAAAGAAACTGTAAAACATCAAGAAATGCAGACACAAGCATGTGGGCTGAACATGTGAGGAGACGCACACAACAGGAAGTACATCTTTAGATTCATGTTCTTTTTCACAGCAAAATGTTTATTTGTGGATTTGTGTTATAAACATAAATAAATAAATAGAAAATGAGAGCATTTAGCTCAGGAAAAATTATGTCAGGAATATTATTTTATAGTATTAAATGTGTCCTGGGTCTTCCCCGAGGCCTCCTCCCAGTTGGACATGTCTGAACCTCCTCAACTGTCTCCTCTGGATGTGGAGGATCAGTGGTTCTCCTCAGAGTCTCTCCTGATAACTGAACTTCTCCCCCTGTCTCTGAGGAGAGTCCAGCTCTGCAGAGGAAACTCATTTAGACCTCCTGGATCCACGATCTCATTCTTTCAGTCTCTACCAGAGTTCATGACCAGAGGTGAGGGGAGGAACGTAGACCGACCAGTAAACAGAGAGCTTTGTCTTACAGCTGAGCTCCTCTTCACCACAACGGACCGGCACAGAGTCCACAATACTGGAGATGCTGCACCGATCCATCCGTCAATCACACACTTGTGAACAAAAACCAGAGATACTTGAACTCCTCCACTTGAGGCAGAACCTCACCCTCGACCTGAAGACAACAATGAGACTGAGGACCATGGCCTCAGATCTGGAGGTGCTGGTTCTCATCCCAGCTGCTTCACACTCGGCTGTGAACCGGTCCAGTGAGAGCTGAAGATCACATGATGCCAACAGGACCACGTCATCTGCAAAGAGCAGAGAACCGGACTCCCTCCACCCCCTGGCTGCACCGAGAGGTTCTGTCCATAAAAGTTATGAACAGAATCCGTGACAAGGGGCAGCTCTGGAGTAGTCCAACTTCCACCCTGAAGGGTCCAACTTGCCAGCAATGAGAACCAAACTGTTGCACCACTTGTATAGAGACCGAACAGAACCGGGCCCCCAATCCCACACTCACGGAGCACCCCCCACAGTGTGCCCCGAGGAACATGGCTGAATTCTACAAGTCCACAAAACACACAGACTGGACGGGCAAACTCCCATAACCCCTTGAAAACCCTAGTGAGGGTAAAGAGCTGGTCCAGTGTTGCACGGCCAGGACAGAACCAGCTTTGTTCCTCCTGGATCTGAGGAGCTGCAAATAAAATGAAAAAATAAAAAGTAGTGTTCTCAAACAAAACGTTAGTAACCATTTTGTTGCTATAATTAACGTTTGTTTTGATCCATTTAAGTGTTTTGTTTTTATTCTGAATTTAAAACTCGTTTTTATCATTAGGTACTAGTTTATATTCACCAAAGTTCATGACTTCATTTAAAC